AAAAAAGAAAAAAGAAAAAGAATAGAATTATCCACCAAAGATGTTATTTAGCCATTTATTGGTGGACTTTGAGGGTTTTTAATACAAGTGCCTGTTTTATGTTTCGTATTTTCAATTTCACATTTCAGACCATCACAACATTTAAAAGTATTACCCTCATTACCACAAGGATCGTATTCCTTCAAACACGTTTCACATTTATTTGTTTCGAAAGAACAAAAAGATCCATAACAACAATACTTATCGTTTGTTATATCGCATTGTCCACCTTTCTTAACACAATTGCCAGGTCTACAAGATGAACCGCCAATTGCTTTAGTTTTACAAAATAGACCACTACAGCATTTATTGTCCTTATTGTCACAATTAATTTCATTTTCTAAATGACATTTGCAATTAATTGGTTCAAATAATATAAATAAATTTAAGAATAAAAATAGAACAAGAAAAATATTATTTGAAGAAGCCATTTAATTAATTTTTTTCTGAAAGATTAATTTATAGTACCTTTGATTTTATATTAGGCATCATTCGAAATAACTTGGAAAACTGTACCGAACTAGGTGTGGGCCAGGGATGTCCCGTGTTACCCGAAATCCGACACGAGACCCGGAACATGGACCTTTTTCGACTCGAACCCGATCCGAATTTTTTCTCAACTCGAGAGATCCCTGGTGTGGGCAGAGTCGATAAGTCAATTATGTACAAGGTTTCCTTCAAATCCTCCTATATCCCTGTAAATTACCAAGATCCATATGTAAGGATGATTCTTCTAGAGCATTTAAAACGCTTAGGTGAGGGGGGGGGGGGTTAAACGATCTAAAAGGATAAAAAAAGCAGTGCGAAAGCGGCTATCAATAACTATCAGGAGGTTATTGATATTTTATTATTTCTCATATAAATCATCTGATATCCTCCCTAATCCCTCCAAATCCCCCGAACATATTTCTCTCCAAAGAGCTCCAAAATTCCTGATATCCACACTTTTAGACAGACCCATAATCGGGTTGGAGGGTGGCACAGTCGGAAGTGCTTCGGTTGGGCCCTTTGCGTGATGGTTCTATCCCATCTCACATCCAATGAATTTTTCTACAGCATGAACACTTTAACAGCTTGTATTAGGGACATATTGTTTTTAATATTTTGGAGAATTAAAACGAGTAAATTGATATATGTTTTGCTAACCTTTACCAGCAGTTTATATAATGCCCATATAGGGTGTACTGATCTTTTAGTGTACTGATCTTTAAGAGTAATTTCAACCTACAAACTACTATTGAGTTTTAAACAAACATAATTTTTATTCAAAAAACTAAAAAATAAAATTTGCAAAGTGTTTCCACTTTACCGCAGAAGTTGAATGAAGCCGTGAAAATGGGCTAAAATTATGAGGGAAAAGTTGGCTCTGCGGTAATTGTGGAGGAAAAATAAATGCAAACAAAAAGGATTGGAAATCCTTATTTAGATTTTTTGGATGAATTCATACTTTTTTATTTTAAATCACGCGGAGCTATAAGGGAAGGGAAATTTTTTTCCTTCCCATTTCTATACCTCATTGCCCATATGTATAAGGAGAAATGTACTGATCTTTAAGGGTAATTTCAATCTACAAACTACTAAAGAGTTATTGGAAATCCCTACTTTCTAACAAATTAAAATTAGAAAATGGTTTCCATTTTACAGCAGAAGTTGAATGAAGCCGTTAAAATTGGTTAAAAAATTAGGTAAAGTTGGCTCTGCATCCAAAATCCCCCTAGATTCAAAAATCAACACACCAAGTTTTAATTAGAGTTGGCCGGGATCGGGATCCCGGTCGGGATCGGGCGGGATTATCCCGGGTTTTTCAAATCCCGATCCCGATTTTTCTGATCCCGCTCCCGAAATAAATATCCCGATCCCGATCCCGGCCAATTTCAATCCCGAGCCGGGATCCGGGATCGGGATCGGGATGTGCATCAGATCCCGATGCAAATCCCGACTTTATAAATTGACTAGAAGTCTGTGAATTAAAGTTAACAGAAGAGGGGAGGCATGAAATTAAGAAAAATTTTCGCCTGCGGCGCAGAAAATGGAAGAAATTTGGCATCTAGACATTCAAAATTCTCAAAATTTTCGCCTGCGGCGCAGAAAAGGAGCAAATTTAAACAAAGCTGTCTATAAAACTTCGACGAAATATTGAGTGATTTGGTGTGATATCGAGTGATCAAGAGGGGTTGAGGGAAGTATAGGTGGATTTGGGGCATAGAAGGATATTGGTGGATTTACCAGACCTGCTCATGGATACGGATTTTGCTATCCGTATCCGGATATATCCGTGAGGTCCGTATCCGTATCCGTTTGTATCCGTCCAACTTTTTAGGCATATCCATCCGCGGGTATCCGCGGATATATCCGTTTTTTCTTAAAATGGTCAGCCTGGCTAGAATTTTCAAAATGGTCAAATTTATTTAAATTCGATTTTTTTCAGCATTTTATACAACCTACATATTTAGGTACCCATTTTAAGGTTTTTACGACCTAAAAATCCGATCCCTAATAATAAGGTAATAACTGAATGCATCAAAACTAACCTTGCTTATGAACATCGGAAGTTCGAAAATCGGAAGGCAGAGATAGGAATTCCGACCCAACGCTACTTATCAGGGATCATACCGACAAAAAATAAAATTTTGAAAATTTTTGAGAATTTTTGAAAAGTTAAATTCACGGTTTCGGGCCGAAATGAAAATTCGGTTAACTAACCAGTTGATTTTAGCGCCGCACTTACATGCCCTTGGCCTTCCAAGATTAAAAATTATTGCCTGCGGCGCTTAAAAGGGAGTAAATCTGGCACCTTGGCCTTCAAAATTTGGAAGCCAAGGTGCCAAACTTTTCAAAAGGAATCCCCCCCCCCCATTACATTATCCCCCCTTAATACCCTGAACCGGAAAGTAAATCATGCGTCTATGAGACTTTAACTCAATATTTTAGCACCGCAGTGGAAATTTTAGAATTATATTGAGTCGTTTGTGAAGAAAATAAAAATTTAAAAGTTAAAAAAATTTTTTTTAGTAAATCCCGATCCCGAGTTTTCAATCCCGGTCCCGATTCGGGATCGGGACCGGGACCGGGATCGGGATCTCCAGTTCAAATCCCGATCCCGATTTCGGCCAATCCCGATCCCGTGTCGGGATCCGGGATCGGGATCGGGATCACCATTCCAAAATCCCGATCCCGGGTTTTTCTCAAAATCCCGATACCGGCCAACTCTAGTTTTAATTATATAAAGGGATTTTAGGTTTTTAAAAGAGACGGTGGGATCAGCGCCCTTGTAGTTATTAAGTAGGATATTGTATTGAACGACATAAGATATCTTAATGTATACAGTATATGATTTCGATCATCTTATGAAAATCCAAACAAATAATAGAAAAATTAAATTAAACCAATACTGTCTTTACTGGAGTGAATGTGTACTCCAAAAATCTACTTTTTTTTTACCGCAGAAGGCGAAAATTTTGAAAAACTTGGTCGGCCAAGAAGCCAGATTTCTTTAATTTATGGTACGTGAAATTGCGAAAAATTGAGTAAAAATTTCGAAAATCCGCAGCCGCAATTCTTATTTTAAAATCCACAGCAGCAATCCGCAAGTCAAAAAGACACTCAATTTCACGCAATCGGCAAGTGCGTCCATCTGCTTTGGAAGAGGTAAACGATTGAATTGGATGCTGTAAAGAAGAGATAGATCCAGCCGGCTAGCATTAAAACGCTCACTAGGGGGGGGGGTTTAAGATCTATTAAAAGAGAGGTGAAAGCAGCGCCCGGTAGCTCAGTTGGTAGAGCACCTGTACGGGATGAGCGAAAGCGCCTAGCAATAACTGCCAGGAGATCGCAGCCTGCCTGGGATTAAACTTTTACCTCGCTCCTACTATGTGTTAATTATCTAAGGGACGACAAGTGATAGTGGTCTTTATACCTTCGAATAATAATAAATCTACTGATAAGCAATCTTTATTTTTCAAAATAAATTAACATTATAATAACATTTACTATTAAATTTCAAATCTTTTGTGTATCTCTTTAAAGACAATAATTCCATTCCATATACCCTAGATTTACCAATTTAGGTGCAAAAGCTATTTGATTCGATAAAGTATCAAACAAAACACAATAATTAGTGAAGGTTTGTAATGAAAATGCTAGTTGCTTTTTTTCTTCTACATCAAATCCAAGTATGCATCTATCGTAAAAGTACTGAAAAAATTAAAATAATTTTTTAAAGATTTTTTGTTGATTTTTGAAGTTTCGTTAATTCCATTTTAATCTCTCGATATACCTTTTAATCCCCAAATTCACTGTCATCCCTTTTACTCACCCAACCCCCCTTTTTTTACTCACCTCTTTAGAGGTGGGGCTCTATTTTAACATGGGGCGCTCTACACTACAGCTATCCTCCAAGGTGTGGCTCTATTTTAGGGTGGGGCTCTAATTAAGCATGGGCTCTATTTTAACATGGGGCGCTCTACACTTCAGCTATCCTCCAAGGTGTGGCTCTATTTTAGGGTGGGGCTCTAATTAAGCATGGGCTCTATTTTAACATGGGGCGCTCTACACTACAGCTATCCTCCAAGGTGTGGCTCTATTTTAGGGTGGGGCTCTAATTTAGCATGGGCTCTATTTTAGGAAATACACGGTAATTTAACTGTCATAGTCGACAATTCTTATTGAAAACAGTGAGAAATAGACCGATATAAACCTTAATCCCTTAAAATCTCCGTACCCCATATATCCCTCAACACCATATATCTCAATATATCCTTCTTAATCCTCACAAATCCACCAATATCCCACTTAATCTTCAAAATCACTCATTATATCCTTAAAATCCTCTTAATCACTTATTTGACCTGGACCGAGGTATCTACAAGGGAAACTAATCTTGCTGACTGATATGAACGTAAGGTTCACTAAAATGAACGTGAGGTCCATTAACGAAAGGTTAGGGTACCTTAGACCAATATTTATGTACTCACATGACTTTTGTTTGCCATATTTTTTCCATAAACATTAATTGTTGTATTAGCATTTTTTAATTTTAAACCAATTGTTAGTTTTCCCCCAGGTTTATAGTCTCTACACCTTCCATCTAAATAATAATAACCATATTCTTTGTCAATTTTAACTTGTAAAGCCTTTCTGATTTTTTCAATATTTTCAGAACTTCCTTGTATAGCTTTGTATCCTAAATATTCATCGTCAAGAATAAATGTAGTATTCTTCCCAACATTTATAAGTGTCTCTCCTTTACTGTCAACGACTTCATCAACAAAAATTTCAATCTTATCCAATTTTCTCTCCTTAATTTTAATTTATAATATTGAATCTCGATTATACGTCACCTAAGGAAAAACTTGTTAAATTGAGAGCAGAGCTATTTCGAAATTTCGCTTTTCGAAGTTTCGATTTTTGAAATTTCGCTTTTCGAAGTTTCGATTTTTGAAATTTCGCTTTTCGAAATTTCGCATTTCGAAATTTAGCTTTTCGAAATCTCGCTTTTCGAAGTTTCGATTTTCGAAATTTTGCTTTTCGAAGTTTCAATTTTCGAAATTTCGATTTTCAAGGATTAATTCTTTTCAAAACAGCTCTGATTGAGTACTCATTAATATAGGGTGGATTTGATAACTAAGTTCAAAAGAAGCTTACATCAAATGTAGCATTAATTGGTTTACTCATCTTATCCAAATCGCAATATTTTTTAAAATATTTTTCTTCGTCAAAACAATCTCTCATATAATAAAAAAATTCCCAGCCTTGTATAGAATCGTATTCGTAATGAACAGTCATAGCAAAATCAACAAAAAATTCGTCTTCCCCATTTAATTTTCTCGAATTTAGCTTCTCAGTTTTATTAAAATTAAATTTTCTTCCTCCTTTGTTTAAATTTTCTTTAAATTTTAAAATTTCAAGTTTTCGGCTTTCCAAATTTTTTGATTCACCAAAATTCCAATTTAAACAGAAAAATAAATAAATGGAAAAAAATAAAATTAGAGGGAAGCAAAATTTATTTTTAATCAACATTCTTGGGGGGTTTTTAATTTTTGATTTAATTTTTGGCCTAGGTAGCCCCTTTAAATAAGTAAATTTTAGACCGGAATTGGGAAGAAAATGATATCATTTTTATTTTAAACATGGTCGTTATCTTTTAAAAATTATTAGTTTCTCTCCCTTTTAAATTATTTAGAAAATTCCTAGAATATTTATGTATGTTTTACTGCTTATATAAAATGCGTTTTGCAAGAATGTTGAAGTTGACCTCTAGGGTAATTTGATTTGAGGTAATTTGATTAGGGTAATTTGTAGTGTTTCACCGGAACCGATATTTTGACCGGAAACGGATCCAACTTGAGTTCCTGATCCCCGAACCGGAACCAAAAACGCCGGAACTTTCCGGAACTTCCGGTGAAACTCTAGTAAGTTGATTAGGGTAATTTGATAATTACTATATTAGGGTAATTTGAGGGTAATTCGTCATTTTAAATTTTATAGTGTCATTTGATCACTAGAAAGTAAATGAAAATTTTCTCGTACTGTGGAAGTAAATATAGACATTTTCTTGATTAATTACCTTTCTTGATTATTTTCCCTAAATTCCTCTACCTGTTCAAAAACACCACATAATTAACGCCATAGATAAAGTGCCCTATTGCTATTTTCTGTTACGCGAACACATCAGGGAACGAGAGGATACGAAAACAAAATTCACGATTTAGGGAATCGAGACGGCTCGTTCCCTGGAACACAATGAAGCTACGAATACTTCACTCGCGGCGACCGTAGCGAAGCGACGGCCGTCGTTTCGCTCGACATGCCCGCCTTCCTCCGCAGCATCACAAAAACAGTCTTTCTAGCGAAGGGAATCTCTTTCGAAAGAGCTCGTTCAACAGAGTCGAATGACACTAAAATCACCTTAATTCATTAATCATGAACAAAGATATAAGTTGACTAAAATTGAGATTTGACGCTGACATTCCTTATCGGTACACCTCAATTGAGTCCCGACTCAACTGAGTCCCGGACGCTATAACTTATGAGGGGATGGTCACTTTTTTTTGCTCTTGGTACCATTGGATAGGGCATTAAATAGGCTACAATATACCAAAAAATCAAAATTCCTGACAGACTGGTAAAAAAGTTATGATCGATAAAGTGCCGAAAAATCCGATTTTTTTTTGAAAAAGTTAGTTTTTATATCATAACTTTTTTTATCAATCGGTCAAAAATTCTGATTTTTTGATATGTTGTAGAGCTTTTGATTCTCTATCCAATGATACCAAGAACATTAAAAATTATCAACCCTTACTTGAGTTATAGGGCCGGGACTCAGTTGAACTGCTCCGATTCCTTATACTTTTTGAAAATAAATTGAGAAACTATAACATTTAATATTTAAATTTCAAAAAAATTTTTATCTGTTAAATTCTTTTTTCTTAACAATAAATAAATTCCATATCTTCTGACTTTACCACCTTTGGTGCAAAAGCTATTTGATTCATAAAAGTGTCAAATAAAATACAATAATTATTAAAACTTTTTAATGAAAATTCTAACAGCATTTCTTCATCAATATCCAGTCCAAGCATACATTTATTTTCATGCTTAAAAATCCAAAAAAATTTTAAAAATTTTTGGTTAATTAAAGGATGAGTACATAAAACGAAAATAAAAGTTTGTGCACTGGAAAGAATCGAAACTGTGACTTCTTGGCGTCCCAATACTTGTCATCTTCAGCTTATCCAAGTGTTTTATTAATGCCTAGATCTTTTCCTACATTCTGGGGTTTAATTTATTGACCTGGGCCGGATGCTGGGCCTGTAGTCCAGGAAAAAATCCAGACCCAGGAAAAACCTAGGAAGGTCAAAAAATGCCTGGACTCTGAATATAGGAAAAACCCAGGCCTTGGTCCAGACTATTATCAAAACGGCCAAATTAATTTGCTAAAAATCTAACATCGGTCAGTAATTGGGTTTGTCTACCATTTTTACTGGACAGCACTTCTTGTACTGACTCTGTACTGACTAGGGATGGGAGACCCTCCACCCGATATTCGAAACCCTGACTTTTCTTTAATCCGAAACCCGATCTGATTCTTCTCATCTCGTTCACCCCCATTACTACAAATATAGGTAACTGGGTTTGTTCACCACCATTACTACACCCCCATTACTGCAACCCATTATTACAAATGCTTACACTAAAGTCTGCCATATCTCTTCCAGAAACATTAATCGTTGTATTGGAATCTTTAAATTTTACACCAATTGTTGGTGTTCCTTCTGATCTAATGTCTTTACAATTTCCATTTAAGTAATACTTATTGGTTTCCTTGTCAATTTGAGCATTTAAAACCTTTGCAATTTTTTCAACATTTTTAGAACTTCCACTCATGGCCTCGCCTCCATTAAGAAGTAAAAATTCAGTGTTCTTTCCAATATTTATAATTGTTGCTCCGTTATTGTCAACGATTTCATTAACAAAAATAACAATTTTAAACAAGTCGTATTCCTTAAGAATTGTATCTTATAACGAGGGTGCTCCTAAATAGAGGAAACAAGTAGAGACCCTATAACGAGGTGTCTACTAACTAGAAGATACCCTATAACGAGGTGTCTCTTAAATAGAAGATACCCTATAATGAGGTGTCTCTTAAATAGAAGATACCTCATAACGAGTTGTCTACTAAATAGAAGATACCCTATAACGAGGTGTCTACTAAATAGAAGATACCCTATAACGAGGTGTCTCTTAAATAGAAGATACATATAATGAGTTGTCTATAAAATAGAGATACCCTATAACGAGGTGTCTCTTAAATAGAAGATACCATATAACGAGGTGTCTACTAAATAGAAGATACCCTATAACGAGGTGTCTCTTAAATAAAGGATACCTCATAACGAGGTGTCTACTAAATAGAAGATACCCTATAACGAGGTGTCTACTAAATAGAAGATACCCTATAACGAGGTGTCTCTTAAATAGAAGATACATATAATGAGTTGTCTATTAAATAGAAGATACCCTATAACGAGTTGTCTATTAAATAAAGGATACCTCATAACGAGGTGTCTACTAAATAGAAGATACCATATAATGAGGTGTCTCTTAAATAGAAGATACCCTATAATGAGATGTCTATTAAATAGAAGATACCCTATAATGAGGTGTCTCTTAAATAGAAGATACCCTATAATGAGGTGTCTCTTAAATAGAAGATACCCTATAATGAGGTGTCTCTTAAATAGAAGATACCATATAATGAGTTGTCTATTAAATAAAGGATACCCTATAACGAGGTGTCTCTTAAATAGAAGATACCCTATAATGAGGTGTCTATTATATAGAGGTTAATCAGCTTCCCATACCCACTAGCTAACCAAATTCTAAAGAGAGTATCATAAACCGAGGTGTGTCTAGTATTAAATGGATCTTATAGAGCGAGATTCAAAGGTTAACTTACATCAAATGTAGCATTAATTGGTTTGCTCATCTGATTCAAATCACAATACTTTTTAAAATATTTTTCCCTATCATAACAAAATTTTGAATAACCAAATATTTCATAATCTCCGGTATTAGAAATACTGTCGTAAATAATCATAGCAAAATCAACAAAAAATTCGTCTTCCCCATTTAATTTTCTCGAATTTAGCTTCTCAGTTTTATTAAAATTAAATTTTCTTCCTCCTAAATTTAAAATTTCTTTAATTTTTAAAATTTCAAGTTTTCGACTTTCCAAATTTTTCGATTCAACATAATTCCAATTTAAACAGAAAAATAAATAAATGGAAAAAAATAAAATTAGAGGGAAGCAAAATTTGTTTTTAGTCAACATTTTTGGGGTTTTTTAATTTTTAATTTAATTTTTGGCCTGAATAGCCCCTTTAAATAATAAATTTTAAGCCGGAATTGGGAAGAAAATGATATCATTTTTATTTTAAAAATGGTCGTTATCTTTTAAAAATTATTAGTTTCTCTCCTTTTTAAATTATTTAGAAAATTCCTAGAATATTTTATTGCTTAAATAAAATGCATTTTGCAAGAATGTTGAGTTGACCTCTAGGGTAATTTGATTTGAGGTAATTTGATTAGGGTAATTTGTATTGTTTCACCGGAACCGATATTTTGACCGGAACCGGATCCAACTTGAGTTCCGGATCCCCGAACCGGAACCAAAAAAAGCCGGAACTTTCCGGAACTTCCGGTGAAACTCTAGTAATTTGATTAGGGTAATTTGATAATTATTAGGGTAAGTTGAGGGTAATTTGACAGTTTAAATTTTATAGTGTCTTTCTCGATTATTCTCCCTCATTTCTTCTACATTATGTTCAAATACTTGTTACTATATTTTTAATAACTAAGCTCGAAACTTGAGTCGTTTAATAATAATAACAAAAATAATATTCAATAATAATACACTTCAAATTTCTTTTATCCCTCCTTCCAACATTCAATCCATTCCATATCTTTAGACTTTGCCACTCTTGGTGCAAAAGCTACTTGATTTAATACAGCATCAAATAAAACACAATAATCAGCCAAAATTTGTACTGAAAATGTTAATGGGCTTTCTTCCTCGGTTACCAACCAAATTATACATTTATGATTATACTTAAAAATAAGGGAATTTTTTTTGAGATGTAAAAGATAAAATTTCCTTTAACGGTAAAAATTGAGCAAAACTTGAGCATTTTACCTGCCTTGTCAGCTTTAGGGGTGTTCCCCGTTCCCGAAAGTCCTTGACGGCCTTGTCAGCTTTAGAGGCGTTCCCCGTCCCCGGAAGTAGGGGAATTTGAGACATTTTTTGAACCCCCCCCCCGTCACCTTTATTTTCGATTTAATTTTTTTTACATAAGGTTTAAAGGCATATCTCCCAACACGGCTCGGTGTTGTCCAAAACGTCGAGCATGCTCGGATTTGGACAGCTTCTCGGCTTGTCCAAAACGACATGCTTCGAGCTCAACGTTTTGGACAAGCTTCTCGTCAACCCATATAGTGTCACTTTTATTTTTATACCATACCCTTGTCGAAACTTGTGTCCACTGCCTGTTTACTTTCAAAATAATTAATCAAATCCAAATATCCGGACGCCCTATACTTACATAAAATCACGCGCATTTTGCTAGAGCAAAGCAGGGGTCGGTCGGAAATGACAAAGGTGTCGGAACTGTCGGAAATCAGAAATGGCTCAAAGGTCGGAAATTGAAAATCAGCCTAAGTTTTGGGAAATCGGAAATCGGAATGAAAAAAACATGGGAAATCCTGCAGCAAAGCGACTGCAGCAAAGCGACTTTTAGCTTAATATTTCCAAACTTACACCGTAGGCCGCTAAATCTCTTCCAGAAACACTAATTGTTGTATTGAAATTTTTAAATTTTAAACCAATATTTGCCTCAACTTTTGATATAAAATCAGTACAATTTCCATTTAAATAATACTCATTTTTTTCTTTATCAAATTGAGCATTTAAAGCCTTTGCAATACTTTCAATGTTTTCAGAATTTCCTCGAATACTATAATTTTTAAAATCAAGTGATAATTCAGTTCTCTTTCCAACATTTATAATTGCTTCTCCTTTACTGTTAACAATCTCATCAAGAAAAATATCCATTTTATCCAGCTTATCCTCCTTAATTATATTATAAATAGGTATATGTATACAGTCGAAGCTCGATTATATATTACGTCGGCACCATGGATGAGATGGGTCGTGAAAAAAGTCAGAGCGGATTTCGGATCTGATTCTGAAAATTTTCTTTGGATCTGGCTTCGAGTTTCCGGTCAAAAAAAGACGGGTTTCGGCTCTCGGTTATCGTCTCTCGGATGACCCGTCCCATCCCTGGTCGGTGCCTAAAATAGGTTGTTTTCTCGAAGCGACCAAAGAAAAAGGTTTCTTATATCGAGTGTCAACATACTGAGGATAAACTGTATTACTCTAGTCCAAATTCAATTTTGCCGGCTAAATTTAATTTATTTTCCAAAAATCCTTTTTTTATTATCCGAAGTTGGATTTGTTCCCTTTAAAGTTTTGCGTTCGGAACTTAAATGTTGTCCCGAAATTTAGATCAAGAGTCGGTTTTCGGTTTTGCCCGACCTGAATTCTTAATCAGCAAATACTCCTAGCCGTGTACTGAGATTTGGAGAGTAGGTAATTGGACGGACAGTTGGGGATTGGACAAGTGGTGAATGGGTATTTGGGCAGTTGTAGTCCACTCCCCAATCCCACCAGTCCACTCCCCAATTGTCAACTTTCCAAATCTATGAGAACTACCCTAGTTCAACCATAACTTACATCAAATGTAGCATTAATTGGTTTGCTCATCTGATTCAAATCACAATACTTTTTAAAATATTTTTCCCTATCATAACAGAATTTTGAATAACCAAATATTTCATAATCTCCGGTATTAAAAACATCGTCGTAAATAATCATAGCAAAATCAACAAAAAATTCGTCTTCCCCATTTAATTTAATATTTAATAATTTTCTCGAATTTAGCTTCTCAGTTTTATTAAAATTAAATTTGCTTCCTCCTTTGTTTAAAAATTTTTTTGTTTTTAAAATTTCAAGTTTTCGGCTTTCCAAATTTTTTGATTCAACAAAATTCCAATTTAAACAGAAAAATAAATAAATGGAAAAAAATAAAATTAGAGGGAAGGAAAATTTATTTTTAAACAACATTTTTGAGTGTTTTTTTAATTTTTTATTTTTTATGTTCAAGTAATTTGTTAAATAAGTAAATTTTAGACCGGACTTGGAAAGAAAATATTATCATTTTTATTTTAAAAATGGCCGTTATCTATCTATACACTCATTTTTAAATTAGCCACTAAATTGTGTTTTGTGAAAGAAAAATTTCTAGGTGTGTTTATTGATATGTGAGGGGGAATTAGAAAAAAGAACAATGCTTGGAAAAAAAATTATTTAAAATTCCAGGAAATTTTCTTCTTGTCAAACAAACTTCAAAAACTCTCCAAAACCCTTCCAAAACTCTCCAAAAACTCTCCAGAATCACTTCAACCCTACTCACAAAAATTTTTTTAATTAGTTTATTTTTCAAAATTTAAACAAACAATTTATTGAAATAATTGGAATCGGGCTACAAAAATTTTAAATATATAAAAGAGACTTGCATATGGATACGGATAATATCCGTATACCGGCGGATATTCGAATGAAAATGTTTTCCAAAATGGTCCGATATGGATTGGAGATGTCTCGAGTGGAGAACAAAGTCGCCGCCTACTGTCAGCCTTAGGAATTAAATAGCTATATGCTTTACAATGCTAAAATCCATGCCCATGTGCATGCCCCATATAAAATAAAAATACATTTTTTCTCAATAAATAACATTTGTCAAGTAAACACAAAAAATCTTTTCATTATTTTTATTTTTTATGAATTTCCCTGTCTTGATTTTAGGTAAAAAATACACCTAGGTTGAGTTTAAGTTAAATTACTTTAGAATGGAATATTTCGACACGTTCTAAGAAAGGTAGGATAAGATTGGAAAGAGAGGGATCGTCTCTCTAAGACGTGTTTTTATCAGTTCAACAGTCCTACATAATAATGTTTGATTTGCGGATAAAGACAAGAATGAAAAACAACAGAACGGGAGGAGATGGTTAAGGAGGATAGCCAACAATCTTACTTTGGAGAGAATCAAATTCCACCCAAACTTTTATTGTTGGTGAGGGGGGGGGCTTGCGGATGACAATATTCTGTGCTTTCTGGTTCTGGTAAGGTTCCAATTCATGCAATGGATTTTGGAATTTTAGGAAATATGGGTTTATTTATAAAAAAATAGGGGTTTATTTATATAATATAGGGGGTAGTGGGGGGGGGGAGGGGGGGGGTAAAGATTGAAGGTAGGGGTAGGTATAAAGATAGGGGATAGGGGCTTCAGTATAGATAGCGGCTTCTTCAAAAGGATAGGGGGTTTCGTGTCTGTATTGTCTAGCCTACCTTAACTCAACTTAGGATTTTTCTAGTCATTATTTAATTTTCTTTAGATTTTTCTAATTGATCACAACATTCATTATTTTCGTTTTTTGTTCCATTTTGTATCATAGGCGTCTCAGTCAATCTCTGAGAACATTGCTTTTTAGCTAATGAAGGTTGTGAAGATGATGAGGAAATAAATGAAGATGTTCTCTTTCTAATATTTTCATTATTTTGATGGACTGGAGATGAATTGTCGCTTTTACTTTGATTTAATTTTTCCGGGTGAGAAGGTGCTACACCTAAAATTTTAAATTTTAATTGAAGTAAAAATTCCTCATGATACCCATAGGGATAAGAATATGAAAGAAAACTGCTGATCAGAAAAATTTTTGCGCAAAATTCAATTTAAAAAAATTCGCAATTTAATTTTGAAATCCGCAAGTGCAAATTGAAAAACCCCAAGCAATTTTAAGTAAAATCCAAGTGGACCTGACTTGCTTCTGATATATTATGAGTAATCACAAGAGTTCAGCGGTATCGGGATCCCGATTGGGCGGGATTATCCCGGGTTTAAATCTCGATTTCAATTAACCCCGATCTCTAATCAGGATCCGGGATCGGGATTTGTATCAGATTCCAAAGCAAATCCATATTTTATAAAAATTGACTAAAAAATGGGTAATGACTGTGAAATAAAGTTAGCCGAAAAGGGGATCCCGATTTCTTGTCAAAATCCCGATACCGCTGAACATGTGTGAAAAGTGAGAGTGCCTTGAGTAAGCACAAGAGTGCCTTGCTTCTCCTTAAATCTTTCGATTTTTGGCATTTGCTTTCTCGAGTTTTCAATTTTGAGTTCTTTAAAAAATTAGTCTTAACTTAGCCCTGATTTTAACTTTTTTTTTGATAATTTTCAAAAAAAATTTTTTTTCATTCAATCATTGTAAACATTCCTTTTAAGAATTTTCCCCCAATTTTTCTTATTTTTTATTTCCTCTAATTAAATAATTAAATTAATAAGAGAAGATCAAGAACTGATATCGCCCCTAATTTAATTCTCCTCTTCTCGCGCAATAGATTAGCTAGCTAGGATAAAGGAGGGGAGACGAAGGGAGAGGAAAAGAGTAAGGAAGGTCTTTACAGTAAAATCAAAAAGGAATCTCTCTTTCCATCAAGATCGCAAGATAAAAATTTTATTTAAAAAAATAGCGGAAAGCGGCAAATATGCCTTTGATCAAGCTTAATTTAGGCAACAGAAAAGTGTATTAATAAATTATTAAAATGCGCGACCACACCAAAAGAAGGAAGATAAAAATATTTAAAAGATTAATAGTCGGCATTTTCAAAGAGAATATTTAAATGACAAGGATATAAATTAATTAAACAAGTTTTTAAATTAATAATTAAGAGATAATTAATAATTAAAATAAGAGATACAGTGAGAGTCAGTGATGATAGACAGTGAGAGACATGACATTAGAGAGACCTGAGAGAGACACAGAGACATGAAAGAGACAGTGAGAGAGACATGAGAGAGACACACAGAGACAAGATAGAGACGAGAGAGACACACAGAGATATGATTGAGACATAAGAGAGACATAGAGACATACAGAGACATGAGAGAGACAGTGATGAGAGACTGAGAGAGACATTATAGAGAAATGAGAGAGACATGATAGAGACATAAAAAAGTCAGTGAGAGAGACGTGAGATAGACACATAGAGACATGACACATTATATCTCACAAGAGACAGTGACCTCTCCAGAAATAGGACGGATTACCCAACACCCGGACTTTTTCGATCGGACTTTTCGATCTGAAATTAAATATGCCTTAATAAACTCTTTTTCTGTTGCCTAAATTAATTAAGCTTGATCAAAGGCATATTTGCCGTCTTCCGCTATTTTTTTTAAATAAAATTTTTATCTTCCGATTCTGATGGAAAGAGAGATTCCTTTTTGATTTTACAGTAAAGACCTCTTCCCCTTTCTTTTCCTCTCCCTTTATTTCCTCTCCCTTATTTACCCTACTACATACTAGGCATTTGAGGCTGTTGTTGTTGTTGTTGTTGTCCACCAACAATTGCAGCTAAATGCTGGGCAAAAACAAAAGGTAATTGAAGAGGGTGGGGTTGGGAATGTTGTTGTTGTTGACCTATTAATTGATTTTGACGTTGTTGTTGTTGGTTATGGTGATGGGCTAATGCTAGAGCGAGGATGTTTGGATCTTAAATTTAAGTGTATGTCTGGGAGAAAGAAAGGAAAATTTTCTGAATTTTATTAAGCTTAAGGATTCTATTATTCAACTCATGTCAAGTTTAATTGTCAGACGCCAAGATAAATAACCTCAATTTATTAGTAATAACCTCAAGCCAAGTAACTTCAATTTAAGATACGTTTTTGAATTTCGATTGTCATCTGGAGAGAAGACAACTCAATCTTAGATTGCGAGAGCTGCTCTGTTACCTATTTTTCCACTTTAAACCCTAAAATAGGGAACTATTCTCCCTTTTTCGGACCTAAAATCTCGGACTTTAATTATAAGATACAAATTAACACCAAGAGATTATCTTATATTAAGGCCAGTATTGTTAATATTACCTCCCGCAATCGCTGGATGTATTTGGGGAGGAGGAGGAAGATTCATCCCAGCACTTAAAGCTAGCTGTGAATGTAATAATAACAATTGTTGTTGTTGGTGTTGTTGTTGTAAGATAGATTCAATATTTCTAAATTGTTGTCCATTAATTGGTGGACGTATAGAATTATTTTGGGGATATATTGGGTGTTGTTGTTGTTTTTCAGAATTTTTAGATGAAGAAGAAAGCGGTGGGGAAGAATAATGCTTCAAAAAATAAATATGAGCTGGTTTGATCTGTTTAGACTAGGGAAGATTAGTAAAGGTTTCCAGTAGTACTACTAATTTGACTTCCCTGTCTCGGGGAGGGTTTGAGGATCCAGTGAATTCAGATACGGTATTATCTCTAATGGAATGCCCGGGCATTCTATTTTTCAATCACCTTCCAAAGGGGCATTCTATGGAGGAAGGCATTCAAATGGAGGGGGCATTCCAACAGAGATGATACGGTAACCGGATCCAAAAGAGAATTTCAGGTATCCGAGCTTCTCGGATCCGAATATGTGGATCCGCTAACCAGTTTCTGGGTCCCTCATACATTTCTTTTCGTTCACCTACCCTTCGGATTTTAAATTCAGAATGAGATCTGTTCCCTAAAGATTTTTCAATTGTCCTGAGTAGGGTTGTCGGTACTAGACCGAACCGAACCGAAGAACCGAGAATTTTTTGGTTCGCTTCCTCGGTTCAGTTCGGATATCCGAAGAATTTTCCCTCCTCCCCCTAGTTCTAAGATATGTTTTCCAAAAATATCCACCTTTTCGGTCGTTTCCGGCCTCAGATAATGAAAGGAAGACAACGACACCGCATTTCTACTAAATTCAGGCTGTTTAGTACATCCATTGATCTCTCCTTCTTCCTCCTCCTTATCTTCCTCCTTCTTATCATCTACATTTCCCAAAGTATCCGCAATTGACCAAAATTTTCTTTTTTTAACCACCTTCTTCTCTCTTCTCTCATTTATCCCCCCATTCACCTTCTTCTCTTCATTTTCATCTTCTTCCTTATCCTTAGGGTTGTTGGAAGAGGAGGTTGGACTTGTACTTTTACTTGGTAGTTGTTGTATTTCTGAAATTCCTCCATTCTTATTTTGGTCATTAAACATGGCCCATTGTTGCTGGGCAAGTAAATTTTGTTGTTGTTGATGTCTTCCACTCATTAACATCAAAAAATCTGACATTCCTTGTTGTTGATGGTTTTGAGAATGATGATTCTCTTCTGTATCCACATCAACTTCTTCACCATCCCCCTCATCACAATCATCCTCTGGACGTTCTCTAGGGGACCATTCCATTTTATTTTCCTTTTTGAGACGGCGACGGGCATTGGCAAACCAGGTGGAAACCTGACAAATTGAATATTAAATATAGTCAACCTCATACCCAATACTTGATAACCCTCTAGTTAAGATATGTAAGCCTTCTTAAAATTTGGTGGGCTATTAAGCTGATGAGCTGCCTAATCGATACGCCCTATTTAAGATACATCTCATTATAAGTACGATTTTACAATCAGTGTATTATCTTATATGAAGGCTCAACCCCAGAATTATACACCTTGATTTAATTTACTTTCTCTAAGAGTTGGTTGCCAAATGGGTAAGGAAGCTGAGAAAACGATAACCCTTCTTAGGGACCTAATTAAATAAATGGTTTCTTAGCCTATAGGGATATCTTATAATGAGGCTCGATTCCAAGAATACCCTCAGAATTCACCTCAATTTAAGATAGGCTTCTTAAAATTCGATTGCCCATTGAATGGGAGAGCTGCCTAAGCGAAACCTTCTATTTAAGATACATCTCGTTATAAGGGTACGATTCTTAGAGCGATGTCCGACTGTATACGGTAATAATTTGTATTTTCGGTTGCCCATTGAATGGGGGAGCTGCCTAAGCGAAATCTTCTATTTAAGATACATCTCGTTATAAGGGTACAGTTTCTTAGCCTAAAGTGATATTTTATAATACAACTCGACTCCAATACTTTGAGAATTATACACCTCAATTTAAAATACTTTTGCCTAAAGAGTGGGGGAGCTTAAGCGAAACCTTCTATTTAGGATACATCTCGTTATAAGGGTACGGTTTATTAGTGTGACGTAGTGATGCCCGACTGTATACTGTACTAATTTGTATTTTCGGTCGCTTAAAGAGTGGGGGGAGCTTAAGCGAAACCTTCTATTTAAGATACATCTCGTTATAAGGGTATGGTCTCTTAGTCTTGTTATAAGGGTACGGCTCGCCTGTATATGGTACTAATTTGTATGTTTGGTATGTTTGTTTCAAGCATTGTTTTTCCAATTTAGATTCATGCAAAAGTGTTTACAGACAAAAAAAAAATAAAAAAATATTTGAGAGGGATACCTCTTAGCAAATTTAAAAGTGATTTAGTGTTTGTCAACTGCCCACACGCAATTTTAGCAAAGAAAAAAGCCGCGCAGTTTCTGACCACTTTTAAAGCATAAAAAGAAAATACCGACGCCACTTAGCTTTATTGCCTTTTTTCGAAAAAAATATTTTTTAATATAACCGCCAAATGACCGGCCAAACTTGTTTATATTAAATTAACTGTTAATTAGAAAGCGTTTTGCCTTTTTTTAAAAATTTTTTCTTTTGAAGGATGACCGCTTTCTTAAAATTTTCTATTGAAAAAATTTCTATTAAAAAAGGGGGATTTGTAGCAAGCAAATTCCTTATTTGATGTTCACTCTTTTATTGCCTCGCCTTAATCTTCGCGCATGTTTAGCAGGAAATATAAAAAGAAAAACAAGTTGGCCTATTCTTTAGTTTATAAATTTAAAAAATACGAGTGACTTTTAGACCAAAAAGGGTTCCTAAGTAGGGATTGGAGTCCGGTATTTCCAAAAATGCTGGATCTGATCTGGATTTAGGTTAGTAACCTGGACAGGATTCTTGGTCAGGATAAGGAAAAATCCGGACTGGATCCTCCGTCGGTTTTCTCTTTTTAAAACGCGACAGAGCCAATACCTACTAGAGATCTCTCTGGATCTGGAGGAAAAATCCAGACTGGATCCAGATGCAGACAGATCTCCAATAGGGATTGGCCCTGCCACAATTTAAAAAGCCGAAGACAGACGGAGGATGCAAGCGGAACAAAATAAGAAGTTGTAGACAGATCACGAAAGCGGACGGGCCAAAAGAGACTAAATTTTACGGAAGCCGAGGGTATAAGAGAGACCCCCTCCTAGCTCGTAGTGGGCCTTCTCATTATCACATATCCCTTGCTTTTGGACTCCCTTTATTTTCAAAATTTTTATTTCATCCCGTCCTAATTTCAAGGTCAAAAATTACAGTTATACAAGTATTGTCTTGTAAGCCAAAACAAATTTCTATGTTGACAGGGGGACAATTGACACAGGAAATTTATAGGGGAACTAGTTTGTCCTATAGCAACCTACAGTAAATGATCCCTCAAAAAAACAAAAAATAAACATCTAAAAGAATTTCTATAGAGAAAAAGTTTCTCTTTAAAAATAGCCCGTAAACAATACAAAACAAATAAAAATGAGGGCAAAAGTTTAAAAAGAATTTTTTTGAAATAAATCTGAATCTTTTGTTTAGCAGGAATAATGTTACAAAAAATATTTCCTAAGGAAAACAAGCTCCCTACATTTTTTTTGTAAGCGTATACAGGCGGACATCGTTTACGTGAACTCCAATAACTTTTTAAAATTCTGGTTGCCACTAGGCAGGGTTGGAGCTGTCTAGGTGATACCGCCACCCCCTCCCCCATCTTCATATCAGCGTACGATTTTTTTATGGCTCAAGGAGTGAGATCTAACTGCTAATAGGAGAGGAACTTCTAGTAACTAATAGGCCTGTATTTCTCATTTCTAATACTTTAAAAAAGAACTAATAGCTTATAGACTAGGGTAGCATCCCGAGCCTTCGGGGGCGGGAGTGCCGGGTTTTGTGTTTTGCTGGGATAGACCCTCTTCGGGGTTCGGGTCGGGGTTTATGTCTGAAAATTCGTCGGGGGACGGGGTCTTACCCTATTACAGACCAGGCAGAATAATTTTTTCAGCCAAATTTTAAACTTGCCTGTGTCATAGTCATATGTGTAACCACTGCCAGCAAAGTCTTCTCAGCCTTTGTAGGATAAGGATTCTTCCTATGCATATTTAGCCATTGCTTTAAGGGTGCCGTAACTTCTCTTGTCGCATTTTTTCGTCGATGTTCAGTCTGAACTTGAACCATAAAAGGTTGAAAAGCAGCCAAAGTTGTTGGATCAAGAGGGAAGGGAAAGGCTGAAGGATGTGGTGGATGTGGAGGAAGTGAAAATGGGGGAGGTGGATGACTCATTTAATTTTTTAAAATAAGCTCTAAAATAAAAAAATTCTTGTAAAAAAATAATATTAAGTCATGCATTGAAATTATAGTGAAAATTATGCTCGAAAGGGAAGGAAGCTCGAAAAGGTAGATGCCCGAGGGGCGCGCCAAACTTTGCGGATTCAAATTTGCGGACCAGAAACTTGCGGACCCGGATTTTGCGGTAGATTTGTGGACCGGAAATTGAAATTCGCGGATCGACAATTGAGCCTCTTGGATTTAGGAAACAACCCAAGGATTACAAAAAATTCAAGCCCAATCACCCAACGACCCAAGGATATAGTAGGAATGTATATACCAGGGATACCAAGCAGGATACCCAAGCAAATTTTCCTAAATCGCAACTAGTCCGCAATTCATTTTCCTTTCTCTTGCGGATTTTAATTGCGGACTACTATTTGACAACTTTTTCCTATCCTAATTTGCGGATAGCCTTTTGCGGATTTTGCGGATTTCAGCAAGCGGATTTCAGAAAGCGGCTACTAATATCTTATTTGTTGACAAAATTTGTATAGTCTGCTTATTAGTATAATAAAATAGTAAAAAGCTAATAAATTTGTACGAAAGACGCAGAAAAAAAAATAAAAATGAGGGGAGAAATAAGGGAGAAATCAAGAATAATCAAAGGAGAATTGGAGGAAAATTGGGAGGAAAATGAGGGAAAATAAATATATAAAATGACTGAAAGAATTAAATGTCTCCCCTACAAATATATACAAATATTTTAACTGAAAAAATATTTGAGGAGGAGCTTTATTGGAGCTTTACAGATTTATGTGTGTACTAAAAAGAGTGCAACAAGTAGAAAAACAAAACGGAGGGAGGCGGTCCTTTTTTTTTCTCGCTGAGGGAAAATGAGGGAAGGAGGGCTAGAAAACTAGTTTAGGGGGCTAGTATTTTAAAAAATATTTTTATTTTGTTTTTAGAGTGCAAATAAGCTATGAGGGGAATTGAGGGGAGATGAGGAGAATGAAGGGAGAGTGGGAGAGAGGGAGAGAGGGAGAGACAATGTAAACATAAAACAACTACAGTAAATGTAGACAAGCACAAACATGTGTAGTCATGTTTACTAATAAAATTGGTGGGCGGGGCTTTTTCTAAGAAATTTTAAAAATTTTACAAATTTTTGGGCCTAACATTTTTTGGAAAAACGGAAGCTCAAAAAGAGCTAGAAGCCGGATAATTAACAGGATATTCCGTGGGGCGGGAGTTAAAAACCAATAATTGATAAATTTCTGTCCTTTTTGGATTCCTTTTCCTTTCCGGTATTTTTTGAGATTTAATTTGGCCTTTTAAGTTGGACTAGTCACCAAGGATGCCACGGGTAGAAAAAATAGTCGAGTAGGATTTCGGATTGGGGTTTCAGATCGGGGTTTACGAAAATTTCTTGAATCATCATCGGGTATCAGATTTTGGATTTCCATAACAATTCGGAAAATTGTCCGGGTTTCGAAAATTCGGAAAATTGTACGGCTTCCGAAAATCGGAAAATTGTCTGGCTTCAAACTCCGAATATCAAGTATTCGGAGGTCGGATAGTCCATAGGATCCATTATCGCTATTCTAATCTAAAAATTACTTCCTATAATTAAAAAAATTTTTTTATGATCAACATAAATAATTTTAAACGAAAAATGGCAGTAAAGAGAGGAATGTCCTTTTTTCCTAATTAATATTTAAATTAGAAGAACAAAAATCAGATTTTTTAGAGCATTATTGCAAAGAAAAACGTTTCTAGCATTAAAAATCACGCCTCTTTGCAGAGTTGTAATAAAATTAAAAATAATCTTCACTTCCGCCTTTTTACAATTTTTTGCGGATTTTCGACAAGTTATTTGAATATTTCTCTTTGGTTAATCAAACACCGCATAGGGCAAAAAATCCTTTTATTAAGTAGGCATGAAGGCAATAAACGTTTAAAAATATTTTTTAAATTGTCTGTTAATCGTCTTTTAAAAAAATAAATGAGCGGGGAATGAAGGGGGGAAATTTAACGTGTTTTCTGATTAAAGACCAGAAAATTTAAAAAAATTTGTTGGCGTGGCAAAAATTAATCAGAAATTAAAAGATTAGTTCAGTGAGAAGAACAACAAAATACATAGGTGGGAGTATAATTGATCGGGAGCAGGGCTGGAGTAACTGATAGGGATCAGGGCTTTAGTAAGAATAACAACAACAGATATAGGAGTATAACTGATCAGGATCAGGGCTGGACGCTAATTTAAAAAATATTCCGCAAACGCAATCCGCAAGTCAAAAAAATCCGCAGTTTTACGCAAACCACAATCGCGTCCAGCACTGATCGGGATCAAGGCGATGACGTTGAGTTTTGCGTTAAATTTTGGCTCTGCGGTACTTTCTTGGCTGAACGGCAAGTGTCGGTCCACAAGTACGGGTCCGCAAAAGGCAGCTAACCCTATATTGCAATTGTCTCTTGCGCTCGATCGGGATAGGGCTATCAGCACTTTAACAAACTTTTAAACCGTAGACAATTGATTTACAAAATCCGCAATTGCTTAAAATAATCCGCAAACAAAATTCAAAGATGCGGACAGCCCTAAAAGCACAGCTAAGAGAGAGATATTACATCCGGTTTGTAAGCCAGGAAAGTCGAATAATGAAAAAACGTGACAAAAAATAAATTTTAAATAAACAAAACAAAATATATAATTTGTTTAGATTGCCCTAAACAAGAAAAAATGACATTATAAACAATTAGGGGGTTTTATTGCCAAGTGTAATTTGATATAAAATAGAAAAGATTTATTTAATATTTATTTAGAAAAAAAGATAACAAATAAAATTAATAAATTCTTAGTTTAAAAAAATCCGGCAATAGTTGTAAGGAGCAGGGTTGGCGGCAGTGGACGAATCAAGACGAGATAATTAACAAAAAATTTGTTAGCGAGGTTAAGATCCTTTGAGATGTCGATTTTAATTCTCGTACGACATTTTCAGAACGGTCTCTAGTTGTCAGTTTAAAACCGGAACTGGAAAATCCGAAAAATTAGGGTCGGCTTTTCGGAGGTTTCAGGTAACCGAAAACTCTTCAAGAAAGGTAATATACCGCAAATGCTCTAAAAGAACCACATGTGCTTCTATTTTTCGATCCCCTCGTAGAGTGTGCTTATATTAGGGAGTGTGCTTCAAATAGGGAGTGTGGTTCTATTAGAGCATTTACGGTATACATATATAAGCAGAATCCACGAGTTTCTTACATTTTAAAGGTAAATAAGCGGGCTCGCGATAAATGAATATTTTCCCAGATTAGGTAACTTTACATTATTCCCATGAAGATAGAAAAAAATGTTTGTTTCGAGGTTACATGTTACATGTACATGTAACATGTACATGTACATGTAAGGTTACATGTACATGTTACAACTCAATAAGTGAAAGAAATCGTTGTTTTTGATACTTATCGACTTATACTTACAATTTAAGGCCGATCAAACTTGATCCATCCAGTTGAAAGAATAGCGTTTATCGAGAGCTATCGAATGGGGAACACGAAAAATGAAAAAACTCAAAAAATTAGGGTCGGCGGTTTCAGGTAACCAACAATTCGTCATGGAAGGTAATATACCTAATAAGCAGAATCCATGAGGTTCTCAATTTTAAAATTTAATAAGCGGGCTCGCCGTAAATGAATATTTTCCCAGATTAGGTAACTTTAACACAATCTCCTTTATTCCCATAAAGATAGAAAAAATATTTGTTTGGAGGCTGTAGAGGCTTTTTTTCTCTTGTTTTTGCCTCATAAAAACACACGGAGTAGGTAAAAATATATAAACAGCTCCGATCATTTACAAAAACAGAACGCCAATTACATCTTCTGTATCATTATTTAATTAAGAGTATTCCCATCATTGTTTTTTCATTATTAGTAAAAGTTTTGCGCAATTTACAACAAAAACAAGTGTTGGCCTATAAAAAATGTAGGAGAGGAGAATATTTGTCAAATGTGTGCGGGAAAATTAAAAATAAATTAAAAATAAAAAATTGAGACAAAAGTGGGAATCATGTAGATTGTGTAAAAAAGGAATGAATGTTTGTTAAATACAGAAAAACAGGAGTTGTGATATGAGAGAAAGAGTTGTGTTAATTAATTATTTATGTAATATTTTTAAATTGTAAAAGACATTATTTTAAAATAATTAAAAATTCAAAGGAAGATTTTCAAAAAATTTTATTAATTTAAAGAATTAGCCTAAATAACAGACATAAATGAAGGAAGGATCCAAAAAGATGTTCCTATTACAATCCCGAATGTGGAGCACTCTCATGTATAGTTGCCAGATTCGGGTATCCTAATCCAAAATGGAATTGGCAGTTCCGGATCCGAAAATTTCCGGAAATCCAAGAAAATTTTTTGTTCGTATAGTGACCCTAGATTCAGATATCCCAATATTTAACAATATACCTAGGAGAGGTCCACAAATTATTGAGAGGTTTCAAAACGATTTTTCTACAATCCCGAAGGTAGCACAAATCCTCTAAAGTAGTATTGGCGGTTCCTGAATGTCCGGACATACCATAAAATCCGAAAGAGTTTCGGTTCAGGAACCGGAATCGGATAACCGAAGATATCCCAGGATTTCCCAAGAGCCTACCCGAGCTCCTACTCTATAGCATATCCCATAATCCTACTCACAAGTCCATTTGTTAACCCAGCAAGGATCTTCAGATATTCAATTGCCCCCAATTATTGTTAAATCGTCCTCAGATTCTGAAAAATTCCTATGAATCTGTAGGCACTGAAACTTGGTTCAACACAGGAAATTCAATTTAAGGATTAATTTGAGGAACTTTTTTTAATTTGCCAAAATTTTTCTATTAAAAATTTTGACAGAATACCATTCATTAATACTTCCCCCAACTTCCTCCCATTTTTCTTCTCTACAACAAATTTTTAGTACATAAATTTTAGTTTGTTTACCACGTAGAATCAGTGTTTTACGTTATTTAAGTTGTTAATAGAAGGGCGGGGCATTTTAATAGAAAAGAGAGAGAGAATGGAGAGAGAAGGAGAAGCAGCTGCCTCTGTCAATTGGAGAGAATGTTTGGCGGGAAGGAAGTCGTCTCCACATATTTGAGCAATACGACATTTTGCCAATAAGGCTAAAAATACACATTTTGTCAACAAAGATGTTGACAAAATGTGTGATTTTTGCCTTGTTGGCAAAATGTCGTATTGGTCAAATATGTGAGAGCTGAGGGAAAGAAGGAGAGAAGACTGGCAATAAATACATATATAAAAATATTTTTTAAAAAAATATTTAAAAATGATTGTGTACATAAAAATACTTTGTATGTACATCTGATGATTGATGATGATGGGGTAATAGTAAAAGACAAATGAAGAAGAAGAAAAAATTTTTTGAAGAGGAAGAGAATTTTTATATATTAACACAAAAATGTTAAAGAAAAAGACGAGAATTTTGCCGGCAGCGATTTTTGATTGTAATAACAAGTAAATGATTAAATGAAGAATTTTACTAAATAAAAATACATACATTTTTACAATTTATAAACAACATGGCGGAACATGAAAAATAAAATAGTTTTTAGTAGATTAATTCATTAACAACCCTAGTTACCGTAGGAAAATTACCTCTCTCTAATAGAATGCCTTCTCCATTTAAACGCCCCATTCTAATAGAATGCCCATATGTACAGTAGAGATCGAGATTTTTGAAAAGCTTGGACCCGTTCGTGGACTCTGAAGTTTGATTTCTTGACCTGGACTGGATCCTGGGCCTGGAGCCCAGGAAAAACCCCAGGCCCAGGAAAAACCCAGGAAGGTCAAAAAATGCCTGGACGTGGAGTCTGGGTAGAGGAAAAACCCAGGTCCAGGTCCAGCTCGATCTCTAATGTATAGTGATTGAAAAATAAAATGCCAGGGCATTCAATTAGGACATTACGATAATAAATAACCCAATAAGAAGGTTGCCCGACATTTGCGGACATAACCAAGGCCTATTGAAAATTTGAACAAGCTTCTAGTGGATCCTTTACTGCAATTTGCCCCCTCCATTTAAACATCCCCTTCTAATAGAATGCCCTTTTCAAGAGTAATTGAACATAGAATGCCAGGGCATTTAATTAAGGATAGCATGGAAATTGATAGAATAATAAAATGGTTGTCCGACATTTGCGTACCGACAGTTGCGGACATAACCAAGACCTATTGAAATTTGAACAAGCTGCTAGTGGAGCCTTTCTGGAATTTTATTCTAAACTTCTTTAAGATTGTAGAACTCCTGGCTATACCTATAAGAAAGATAGAAATATAGGCTATAAGATAGAAAGCTAGGTGGATGTTCTCAAATGTCGTGTTCGCAATTGTCTTAGTCACAATAAAATGGTCCTAGTAAATTTCTAAATTTTCTAATAATCTTGCTAAGCTTATTAAATATTTTTTTTAATAAATTTATTTGAAAGGTGTGTTCTAATCAGCAAAATTACTCTAATCAGCAATAATCAAAAAAGCAAATTTTTATGTGTGAAGAAAGTTAATCCGCTTTAAACAAAAAATTTGTGTATTTCCCAAAAGTGAAATCAAAATCCTTTTTTATTTTAATGATAAAATAGAGAGAATGAGTAGAGAGAATGGGAGGAGATCGAGGATCATACCTGCACAATCGCGCCTAAAGATTTGGAGGACGTGCAGGTCTGACAGGGACCGAATTGAGGAAAGTAAAACTCTCGGTTTCGTGTTTCGTGTTTTTCGTGTAGTTTCGTTTATTTTTTGTTTCATGTTCAATTCTAGCGATGTTTGAGACTCTCGGTCTCGGTTCCCGAGTCGGGAAATTTCACGGGTTTTTTGAGCTCTCGGTGTTGACTCACGGTTTGGTCTCGGTCTTGGGGTTGATTTTCGGTCTCGGTCTTGATTCTCGGCTTTTTTAAACTCCCGAACATCACTAGTAAATTCAGGAATGACTTTAGGGGAAGCTTAAGGTATAATAAAGGATATTATCCGCATCCAACATTCAAATTTTAAGGAGAGGTGTTTTAAGCGCTAGAGGTGATCTAAGGGTCTTTTTAATGACTGGAAAAAATTATAAAAAAATTCTTATAATTTCTTAAATAAATTTTTTTCTAAATTAAATACCCCAAAGTACATTTTTATCAATAATCATTTTTCTAAAAATTGTTTTGATAAAGAGTTGATAAATTTAAAAAATCAAATCAACTTATTTAAAGAATAATAGTTGACGTATATAAAAGAATTTTTAGAAAAATTTTAAAGAAAAACAAAAATTCAAAAAAATTTTTTTTGAGAATAAAAGGGCACAGAATTAAGAAAAATATTTTTAAAACAAAAAAAATACAGAAATTTAATTTTGTATTTTAAAGTAAATTTAAATTGACAACTTTGTTATTGGTCAAATCAAAAATTAAATTTAAAAAATATTCTTGATGTTTGTAGTGTGTTTTAATACAAAAATAAATTGGCATACTAAAATATTAGTAAGAAATATTTTTGTAAAAAATATAAAAATATATATTATGCAAAAATTGGAATTTTTTTAAAAAAGCAAAAAAGACTCATTTGGTCACAAGCCCCCATTTTGTTTGTAGGCCCATAACTTTTGAATTAATCGTAGGATTTGGACGAGGGTGGTACCATTCGATAGCGCAGAAAATTTGCTATAAGATAGGCAAAATAGAAAATTTTAGAAAAATTTTAACAGGGGATAGCGACTGTTAGAAGTCTGCGACTAGGTAGCCTTGGGAGAGAGTGGGTCTTATAAAAATTCCCATAACTTTTGTTTGAATCGTCAGATTTGGATGAGGGTGGTATTATTCGATAGCGCAGAAAATTTGCTATAAAATAGGCCAAGTGGAAAAATTAAAAAAAAATTTTAACAGGGGATATCGTCCGTTATAAGGTCTGCGACTAGGCAGCCTCAAAGTAGTGGGCGAGGCTTACAAAAATTTCTAAAAAATCTAAAGGAGAAAATTTTTTGATAGTAAAAACATATTTTTAAAAATAAAAAGGTGTAAAAAGCATCTTATGAGGAAAAAAGTTTTTTAAAAATAATAAATATGTATGACAAATGTCCGTACAGAATAATAATTTTACGAGTTAAATTTAAATAAATACATAAAATTTTTTGAAAATAAAAATATTTTCAGAATAAAAAATTTTCGTTTTTACAATAAAGTAATGATTCTGAAAATAAGAGGGATAAGAAAAATCAGGAAAATATTTAAAATAATAATTAAGCAGGAAAATGCTACTGCAAGACCCAACTCATCTCCGTAGCCATAACTTTCCCTACGAGAGTCAGATCGCGTCGAGTTTGGTACCGACAGATGCAGCTAGTCGATTCTTGTCGGATTATACCCAAATTGACCAGATTTTTATTTCGTAGGACATTTTTAGACATTTGCGGACATTTTTGGACATTTGCGGACAAGACTGAAGGCTGTTGAGATAAGTTCGATTCGTGTCCGCAAATGTCGTCCGCAAATTCAAATAAAAATTATTAATTTAAATCAAAGGTATGTTTAAAAAAATTTTCTTGACAATTACTAAATGTAAAAAATTGTAAAAAGGATCATTGCAATCATAAAAATAAAAAAGGGAAGAAGCTGTTTTCATTGTATGGGAAAAAGCCGTGCATTGAATAATTTTTTGGGGGTTTTCGGAAAGAAAAGAATGTTCGTACAAAAATTCTTCAATAAAAAAAATAAAACAAAAATATGTGCAATTAACACTTTTACATAAATACATATTTACAACAACAGAAAAATAAAAAATTAAAATAAGAAAGACTCAACGACAGTTGCGGACATTTTTGTGCATTTGCGGACACTTTTAGATATTTGCGGACATTTGCAGCATTTTGGACAATTGCAGACATTTTGGGCATTTGCGAACATTCTGGACACTTTCGGGCATTTGCGGACATTTGTGTACATTTGCGGACATTTTTGGACATTTGCGGACATTTTTGGACATTTGCGGACATTTTGGAACATTTGCGGACAAGATTGAATGGCATTGAAAAATTTTTAAATGATCGGTCATTGAGTCCTGTCGAATCTGTATTGAGCATGTATTTACATACTAATTTTGGTAACTTAAGCATATACACGATTTCATAAAGCTGGTGTCAGCAAATGGTGTCCCGCAAATGTTTGTCCGCAAATTTAATTTTGTCTTAAGAGAGGACCCCAAATTTTTTTCTAATTTTTCAAAAAAACCTCAAAATTGGCTGAAAATGAATTAAATATTTGTTTGAATTAAATATTTGCTTGTAATAAAATAAAAAAGGATGTGAGGGATTGAATGAGAGAGAATGATTTTACAGTAATAAAGTCTAGTTAGTTGGAGAAGAACAAACAAGCTCAATAAAATAAAAATGAGAGACAAAATAAAATAATACTTAAGGCATCAAACAACAAAAACATGACTCTAAAAATTTTTTAAAAAATTCTAAGGGGTCTGAAAAAGCGAAAAAAATATCCATAGTTGGTGTCCGCAAATGTTTGTCCGCAAATCGTTTTCCGCAAATTTAATGTTTGTTTTAAGGGATTTTAAGGGGACTAGGAAAATGAGAGAACAGTGTTCTTTTGAAAAAAGAAGGGATTTTCCGAAAATAATTTTTGAGATACCAGGACTAGATACAAAAGGAGTTGATCCAGTAAGGAAGAGGAAGATCCAGCTGGCTAGCATTTAAAACGCTCACTAGGCGGGGGGTTTAAGATTTATTAAAAGAGAAGGTGAAAGCTCAGTTGGTAGAGCACCTGTACGGGATGGGCGATAAGGCCTAGCACTGCCAGGAGGTCGCAGGATCGAAGTCTGTTCGGGATTAGACTTTACCCTCTAACTATCCTTAGATCAGGAAAAACCCGATCAAATCTGGCCCGAAGGGAACACCAGTAAGGCTATCAGCTTAAATTCGTCACTGAACCCAGATTCTGATTTTGCATTAATACCAAGACAAGATTGGACAGGATTCGATCCGGGAATCATTCAAAAACTTCCGAAATCTGGTCATAAGCCAACTCTACTAAAATCTAAATTAAATTAAATTCGTCTCTAAAATTAATAATGTTTTTGGTAAAAGAAAAGAAGATTAATGACTCTAGTTGGCAGCGTGTAATAGCGACTATATCTAAAATATTTAATGTATCTCCATTACAAAAAATTTTTTTTCTATTTTCGCCCACCCAGACAAACATTATTTATAAAATACCTCCAAAACTAAACAGCAGAAACAACACAAAAATTTTCTCTGTCTCTCTTATTTTTCTATAGTCTCTCTCCACACTCTAACCTCTCTCTCCCTCTTCCCCCCTTATTGTCCCTACCAATCAAATCATCATTTATTTAATTCAACTGACTTTTTCATGGATACCGCCAAAAAATTCTTTTTTTTCATGTCAACTAAATAACAACACCACTACTACCAACCCAAATATTCATCTCCTAAAAATCTCCCCTCCCTTCCATTGTTGTCGTAAATGGATGAATTTATGCACTTCTTTTCTTCTTCTTTATCCTCTTACCTAAAATCCAACAGTGCGGTGGGGTGTCAATTTTTAATTGTATTATATAAATAATACTTGTAATTTTTAGTAAAAATGTGTGTAAATGTGGTGAAAATTATTAAAAGAAGAAAATAGAAAAACAAAGATTTGCGGACAAAAAATAAATCTGCAAAAAATTGGCGGACAAACTCTTGCGGACAGACTGGATAAGGAAATGATAGTTCAGCTGTGCCAGGTCTATGACCAAAGAATTTCGAAAGCCTTGGATAATAGCTTTAACCTGTGGTTTATGGATAGCAGACAGTCCGCAAAACATTTGCGGACAAACTCGTGCGGACGTACTGGATTCGGAAGTGTTAGTCAAGCGGTGTCAGATTCGAAAGCTAGTGGGCATAAGATGTCGAAAGCCTTGGATAATAGCTTTAACCTTTAGATTATGGATAGCAGACAGTCCGCAAAATAATTGCGGACATAAATTAAAATTTGCGGATTTTTGGTTTGTAAGGGATCTCGATGTGGTATAGATTTTATAAAAAATTTTAAAAAGTATAATAGACATGTAAAATAAAATAAAAAATGTATTTACAATTTAAAAGGAAGTAAAAAAATTTTTTTTCAATGTTTTAGCGTCAGGTGAAAAAAATGTATTTTAAATATTTAATTTTTAATAATTAAGAGTTATTAAATATGTGGTTTTTTTAGTTGTTAAAATAAAGGTTAAATTATGCGAGAATAAAGTATGTATATATAAAATTTTAATTGATAAATTTAAAATAAATTTTTTAGTTCTATGAGTGCTAATTGAGGATGAAATTTTAAATTAATAATTTGAACTAGAGTAGCAACCCGAGCCTTCGGGGTCGGAAGTGTCGGGAATCGGGGTTTGCCTGGGAAGCCATGTCGGGGTTCGGGGACGTGGTTGACTTTTGGGTCGGGGTCGGGGTTTTGACAAAAAACCCGTCGGGTCGGGGGACGGGGTACTGCCCTTAATTGAACTGAAGGGAGTGTCATTTTTGCGGGCAATTTTTGCGGATATTTTTGCGGATAATTTTAGTGAAACTTTTTGCAGACATTTTTTTGCGGACAGTCTTATAGAAATTTTTAGTGGACTCCTTTTCGGACATTTTATGCGGAAATTTTCTGCATACATATTTGCGGACAATTTTTTGCAGATATTTTTGCGGATTTTTTATTTTAAAAATCAGCCATAAACATAGTCTCCATTGATATACTAACCTCTTAAAAATATTTTAAACACAATAACAACATTACTAACAGAAAAAGCTAAAAAATTGGCCTAGATCCAACCTTAAATGTAAAATCGTTTTTTAAAGTGGGGGAGGACAAGCAATAAATTTTAGAAAAAATTTTGGGTCAAAGAAGTGTGATAAATTGAAGTTTAAAATAAAAGCAAGTTTAACCTTTTTTCTAATTTATATTGGGCCAAGAATTAAAGAAAAGGTAAATTAATGAGTCGAGAATTGGAAGGAGGGGAGAATTGAGGGGAGAAATTGAGGGGAGAAACAATAAATTTTAGCCTTAACCACAAAAAAAGAACAATTGACCTCAAATAAATTTAAAAATAGGATTAGTAGTAGTTGCCATATAAATATTAAAAAGTAAAGGAAAAAGGTGGAATTAGGCATTAAAATGTTTAAATTAATTCAAAAAATTAATTAAATAATAAATAATTTATACAAAGTAAGTGAGTGATAAAATAATTGCGGACAGATAATATTTGCGGACAAATATTTGCGACATACTTTTTTTAGGAACCTACATATTTTAGGACCGTATGGCAAGTGAGTGGGTAGGCAGAGCTAAAAACTCGGTTGGCCAAGTTCCAGAAAAGGAACGAGGGGTTGCCTAGCTAAAATCAAAAACCCCGGACTCGTCTCAACTCGAAACACAAAACACGAAACTAAGAAAAATTTGGAGACCCGACCCGAATCCGTCACAATATTTTTCTCGACCTATCAGGTATGGGAAGGGTTGAGAAAACCTGCTGGACTTGATGGGATAGACTGCTCACCATAAACTTCTGTCCCTTCAGAAAGTATCCGAATAGCAACAAATTACTGGGGATCCTATTGGCTGTCTTTTAATCTGTTAGTAACTATTTTAAAAAATTAATCGGGCATAGAGGGAATATTAAAAAATGAAATTTAATTCCCCATTAAATGTTAATTTAATATTCTTGTCAAAAAATTATTTGTCTTTTTAAAAAGAATTAAATATCACCGACCTATGGCCACGAATAAAAAAGAGCGTTTTAGCTTCCCCTTTAAATCCTCTTTAGCAAAGTAAATCTTTAAACACTGTCATCAATCTAACACATTTTTTTGTGATTTTCAACACCACAGCGGGTGTGTGGCGATGAAGGAAACGAACATAGAAATGTGGGGATATATTACATACTAACATATACAACATCTGTCCAATCACAAAAAAGGATGTGGGGAAATTTGGGGAGAAATGTAAAGGGAAGGATGGTGTGAAGGGATGTTATAATGGATGTTTATATGGATAAAATCCTAAATATCGACAAATAATAGAGGATTGGAGATTCTAAAAGGTCTGAGGAAAGAAAAGTGATAAGCTAGGGACCGAACTTAGCTGACATGAGGAGGTGATATGTGTGAAGTGTCAGATCTGGCTAAAAAACACCTTGAGACTAAAATGCCGATGTATTAGGGAAGGATACGGAAAAGTGATAGGCCCAATTTTTGGGTATTTTGGCAATTTTTGATTTGATATATGGATAGGTCGAGGGAATTTTAAGTGAGGGTTATCTAGCTTTACGAAATAATCAACCTTAAACCAGCTAGTGTAGGAAACTATAAATTAATATTCAAGCAAGGTATTAGTCGTGATTTAGACCAGTGATGACTTAGATCAGGATCCTGTCTTCGGATTGGGCCGTAAAAGGGAAATCCCATACCAGTTCTAGACTAACCTTCACCGCAGACTTAGTCTATCATCGGATTGGGTCGAAAAAGGGAACCTTCCGATTGGATTAATAGATCTGCCTATTCTATCTCCATTAATGTGTTTACTTTTGTGATAGATTGTTATTAATAATCTTGGTTCTTTTAAGACACTCACCTTTAGGACATGGCAAAAACTAAGTTAATTACGGTGGAAGTTGGAGAAGTTGAAGGCACCAATCGGTGAGGGATGTCTTTGAGTATTAAAAAATATAAAAAATGAATTAATCCATCAAATTATTTTTTCTCTATTAAAAACAAGGCGCGTTGCAAAGTACAGAAAAAAGACATCTGTTAAATTGTTGATGATCAATTTTCGCCTTAGGGCAAATGAAGAAAAGGTGTAAAGTGTTACTATCGGTCAAAATGAAAATTGAGAGATATTTAATGGAATTGATGTTATAAACGTTAAAAGAAGTAAAAAAAGAGTTTGAAAAAGGTCAAATTACAGAAGGAAGGTTTGACAAATTTTTAGGATTTGAGGGAAATTTTTTCGAGAAAGAAAAAAGGCAACAAAATGAGGTACGAAAATAATTTATTAAAAATACGTAAAAATACAGACTTTCAATAAGCTTATTTAGAGGCACAAAGCTAGGATGAGGAAGAATCCTCATACAGACAGGCCCATTAGGAAGAGAGCTCCCTGTTGGGGCTATAGAAAGGTCCATTAGGAAGAGAGCTCCCTGTTGGGGCTATAGAAAGGTCCATTAGGAAGAGAGCTCCCTGTTGGGGCTATAGAAAGGTCCATTAGGAAGAGAGCTCCCTGTTGGGGCTATAGAAAGGTCCATTAGGAAGAGAGCTCCCTGTTGGGGCTATAGAAAGGTCCATTAGGAAGAGAGCTCCCTGTTGGGGCTATAGAAAGGTCCATTAGTAAGAGAGCTCCTTGTTAGTGCTATGGAGAAGTTCGTTATAAAGGGAGATTAATAAAGTACCATCCCGACTAAAACGGCGATAAGACTTGTAGCATGGATAGGCCAGGGGACAAAGAGATAGACCAGGGGGTATTTCATATCCGCTATTTCCCATCAAAATTATTGAAACAGCCTTTTCTGGCATTGGTAAACCATCGCCATTTATGGGTGATGGCAAATGGTGGATATTGTAATAGGCCCCAGAGGTTGAAAAAGAATCGGATCGGCTTCCAGGTATCATGTAACTCGACTCTCCTTGTTTCATAACTTAGACAAAACAAGAATTATCCAAATAAGGACTCTCATACTTTTTAGATAGGTAATTAATTTTGATATAATTTTTAAAAATTATTTTTCATATCAAAAATTTATTTCACAAATTTTTTCGAGTTATTAAAAAAAATAAAAGTGTAAAAGTAAACTTTTATGTTTATGTGTGTGGCTGACACCTTTACCAAACACAACAATAATATAAAATAACATTTGCACTTTTTGTAAAAAAATGATGGAAAGAGGTGTCATATGAAAGAGTAATTATTATTAAAAGTATGTTGAACAGTTGGTAAGCTAATAATAATTTTTTAGAGATTTATTATTAAAACAGTTGGCGCGCATCAGAAAAATTATTATTAAAAGATTAACATTAAATATAAATACAATTATTGTAATAGATTGAAGGAGATAATGAATATAACAGCTGACATTGCCTGAGGGAAATAATGACACTTATATGATTTGACCAAATTTAGGAAAGTTTGGGAGAGGGCACAGAAATTAAATTTATGAGAAAGGAGGAGAACAGACGTCGGTTGGACCCCTAGAGGTCGAAAAGGTCGGGTTGGGAGTTAGACGGGGTCGGGGCTTTATTTAAGAGCCGAGCCTACTAACAGACTTGGGTCGGACCCTTCGAGTCCCAAAAGTTTGGGTTGGTGGTAGACAGGGCCGGGCTTGATCGGCTTGATCTAAGATCAGACAGCCTACTAACAGACTCGGGTTCGACCCTTAAAGTTCGAAAAGGTCGGGTTGGGGTTGGACGGGTCGGTGCCCAGCCCTGGAAGAAACAGCCCAACACAGATTAGAATATATAACACCAACCAAGGATCTAGTCTGGTAAAGATACTGTACCTTTCGTAGAACTTGATTGGAATTTTGAAAAAAGGAGAACAAATGCGGGTTGGAGCCTTAGAGTTAGAGAAGTTCGGGTCGGGGTTAGATGTGGCTGGGATCTAATCCTAGAACCCTAAACAATCGACTAATAGTATAATACTTGACATAGCATAATGCCATCCAAGGATCTAGTTAAGGAACCGATATGGTGCCCTTAAGGGAACTTGATTGAAAAGGTGTTATATGCTAGTTCGAGAAGTTCGGGACGAAATAATCTAAAAATAACCTAGAGGGATTATTAAATCCAATATTTTTCAATAAAAATTTTTATTTGAAATTAAGATAAATTTTTTAAATTAAAATAAAATTTTGTAATAAAATAATAAAATGAGAAATTGAGGAATTGAAGAGTTAAAAATTTTGGCTTGTTGAGGAAAATAAAATTTATGTTTAAAAAAGTAAGTGAGTATCAGTCACTACCTCTACGCGCGAAAAAATTCATAGGGCTGACATAACTTTAATAATAATAAATTAATTATCTAAATCCTTAGGTACTTCTTTATCTACCTTAAAAATATTAATTTTAATGAAAAAACTTTTTGGAGTGAAGGGGGAAGGGGACTGTAAAACAACTGGACACGTCTTCCTCCACTATTAAAAATATTTATTTTGGATTTTAACAAGACGAGAAAAAGTGGAATAATCTCAAAATCTCCCTCCTTCCCTCCCTTCCTCTCTCCCCTCCCCCCCCCCCCCCCCTCCTCTCTCTTCCTTCCTCCTTCCTTCTCCTTCCTGACAGCCCCTTTTAAATAATTTTTTCTTCATTTCCTTATTAAATTCCCTCCCTTCCCCCAATATTTATTTTATTACTCCCTTCCAGCCTTTTCAATCATTTTCATCACTTGCCCAAAAATTTTGGTCAATTTGCCCTTGAGACGTTAAAAAGAAGAAAAAAAAAGATTATTTTAAGCGCCAATCAAAATTATTTTTATTTCCTCCTTTTTTTAATAATTTTCTGCTGCCAGTCAATTTTGCTTATCTGATTTGGAAGGAGGAAAGGGAGGTGTCATTGTATAAACAAAAAAAGTTTTGCCCCTTAAATATATTTTTATTAAATCCCCCACTCATCAAGACTGGAACGAAAAAAATTTTAATTTTTTAATTAGAGAGAGGGAAGGAAAAAGAAAAATATGTATGTCGATTGATACACAGGCAGATCCCTGTAAAAATTTTAAAAAATGTTTTGTTTGAAAGAAATTCGGATAGGGCAAAATTGGATTATATAACTCATTGTTCAACGATCAAGTGCCATTTTACTCTAAACAAGCGATAGACCCTTATGCATGATTTAAAAACGGAAGACGGAAGTAGAATGGCCAGAAAAGGCAAAAGTAAGCAGAGGACGAAAGAGATCCCATCCCTGCTTTAAACTCTCAGAAATTGTTTTTTTTTTAATTTGGATGGACAATTGGAAGAGATTGACATTCCAGAGATCTAGCGGACATAAAAAATAATTTCGGTTTTGGGAATCGGGATTACCGATCCCAAAAAACGTCAGAATCTCCCACCCTCTTTTCTGCTCCAACTTAACCTAAAAATTAAAAAAAATTTTTCTTTAAATTTTCCCCTTTCCAAACTTCTCCCTCATTTCTTAAATTTAATGCGCGCGCATGTTGAATTGCGTTTTGGCATTTTTATAGGCTAAAGGATGGCAAATTAATTGTTTTTTTTAATAAAATCCATGGGAGCAGCAATATTTGCGAGAGATTCTAATCGTGCGATTGAGGCCGGGAGGGTCGTAAATAAATTTTTGTAAAGGGGGAAGAGAGTATTAACGACTAAGAAATGATGAGAAGAAAATAAAAAAATATAAAAAAAAATAATTTTTGGGGAGGGGGGGGGGAGGGAAAGAAGGTAATGAAATTTTTTTGTGTGTACAATTAATGTTTAGGTATGTTGACCAATTGGTTTTGGTGATTTATAGTTATTTTTAAGTATTAAATAGATTGATAGAATTGATAAAAAAATGTTTTGGCATTGTTGCTATTTTATTTAAAAGTATTAAAATTAATTTAATTAATTAAAATTAATTTTTTAATTGTAAGAGGTAATAAATTTTTGTAAAAGGGTTGTAAAAGGGTCAAAAATTAAATTTGGTACTTTCCTGTTATCGGCCCTCCATTTTTTCTTCCTTGTTTCTCAGCCTACTTCTGTACAGAATGGTCAGATTTTCTTTCACAAATTCACTCCGATCCCCAGTGGCAACAAAGAAAAGATTATTTTTTGCAAAGAACAGATTAATTTTTTCATAAACTATTTCTCCAACTATGGAGAGATGTTGTTCCAACCGAAGTTGTTCCCCCATTGTTAGAATAGAACAACTTCCCACATTAACAGGAAAACTTTCTACTTCATTGGGATAACTTCCCCTTTGACAACTTATGTTTTGTCTTTTTTGAACTTGAATTTTATAAAAAATTGATCTGTTCTTGCAAAAAATTATCTTTTCTTTGTTGCCACCGAGAAACGGAGTGAATTTGAGAAAGAAAGAAAATTTGACCATTCTGTACAGAAGTAGGTGAGAAATAAGGAAGAAAAAATGGAGGGCCGATAACAGGAAAGTACCTTAAATTTTTATTTGTTATTAATTTTGAGTCTATTTTGAAGGAGAATGAATAGAATAAATTTTAAAAATTTTTTTGAATTGTTAGCCCCTGATTGAGGCCTCAAAGAAAGTTTGTCCGCAAGTTTTGTCCGCAAGTTTTATCCGCAAAATTTTTTTATCTTATTATAGAAGTATTTAGAGATCGAGCTGGGTCTAGACCAAGGCCTGAGTTTTTCCTGTAAACAGTCCAAGCCCAGGCATTTTTTGACCTTCCTGGGTTTTTCCTAGACTATAGGCCCAGGATCCGGCCAAGGTCAATGAATCAAACCCGGAACACAGGAACAGGTCCATGCTTTTCAAAAATCTCGATCTCTAGAAGGATTAAAGTATTTTAGATATATTTTTTTATTTTTACATTTTCCGTAAAATTTATACAGCTTTGAGTATACTAAGGTTTAAGGTTTAATTCCAGCTTGAAACTTGCAGACAAAATTTGCGGACATTTGGAAGCATTAAGAAATTTAAATATATTTTACCTAAAATATACCTAAATTTATTTTAAAAAATAGTAACATAAAAAATAACATCGAGTTCTTATTCGTCAAAAAAATATTTATTTATTTATTCCCTCCCTTTAATATTTTTTGTTTCTTGTCCCTCATGTTATGTTGCTTGTCTTTTTAACTAAAATAAAAATTACGGTAATCCCCCTCCCATTATTTTTTTTCTTGGCCTAGAAACGAGGAATTAAAGGGTATAATAGCACAAATAATATGTCAAGATATTTTTTGAAAATAAAAAATAATTCTTTTTTTAGTAAAATATACCTAAATAACATCTTGCTACAGATGGAGGAAAATTTTGAAAAAAATTGGGGGATTTTTAATTTAAATTTTTCGTAGTATAAAACGAGCAAAGGGCTATTAACTTGGTTAGATTGTCTCGAAAAATAATTATGGACGGAAAATAATTAAAATAAAAAAAGGTTCAATATTAAGGATAAATTAAAGATCAAGGCACAAAATGCAAAAATAAAAGAAATTAAATTTGCGGACAAATATGAAGCTTAAGGAATTTTCTATTTTTGGTGGTATATGGCACAAAAGATCTTATATTATTAATTTAGTGGGCGCTTCCAAAATACCGATTCGAAAAATGGCCGTGTCTCGAGTATCTGTCGGAAGTAAATCGGTCCGCAAATGTAAGAGTTGTCCGCAAATGACGAAAATCGGTACGCAAATATTGGCCAGTAAGATGTTGAATATATACCCAAACTACCTATGTTAAGTATAAGTCGCAGGATATCTGTTCGCAACAGAGGTGGGTCGGAATTTCTTTCCGATTTCCGAAAAAATTTTGATTTCCTATTTCCGAGTTCCGACTTTTGAGCCAGTTCCGATTTCCGAGTTCCGACTTTTGAGCCAGTTCCGATTTCCGGCTCTCTCAATTTCCGACACTTCTGACTGTTCTGACCCACCTCTGGTTCGCAATATGTCAAGTATCTGTCCGGATGTTCATACTTATAAATCAGACACACAAAATTCGCTATCTCGTTGACCAAGATTTTTTAATCAAATATCTAGTAAATATGCCCGTAAATTTATTTTTTGTCTAAAAATATCCATTTATTTATATTTTATAAATAATTAAAAGGATTGACTCTCGATTGACCAATTTGTTATAAATATATCCTTCCCTTCTCCTAACATATCTTGTCTATTAAAAATGTAAAAACTTTTTTTAATAATATTATTACAACGCGTGCGCATCCTTCCCCTCCCTCCCCCTCAATTTATTAAGCAATTTGATGATCTTTTGATTAATTATTATTTACTTTAAAATAAAAATTCTTGTTGTTGAAGGAGAGATTAAATTTTGTGATCATTTTGCGGGTTGAATTGGTGGGGGAATGAAAAAAAGAGAAGGGGGAGAGAGGGGGAGATAATCAGATATATTTAAGAGGAATTAGTTGTAATAATGTAAAAATAAAAATTAATTTTATTTTTGGGGAAAATACAAAGTATATGTAGCTAAACTTCAAAACAAGAGTTTAAAAACAGAAAGGTGATAGGGAAGTGAAGGATAAACCCCAGTAGACGACATCGGACTTATTGTGAATAGAGTTGTCTGCTTCCCCAGATTCTTAGGTTAATCGAAACCAAACCGACAACTCGAAGATCTTAGGTTTTTTGGTTCGATTCGGTTTGAAACCTTCAATTTTGAAAAAAATATAAGAATCCCGGATAATGCTGGATGAAGTTATCGGGGTAGTAAAAGAAAGACAATAGTGTAGCTCCGTCCAGGCATAGATCCTTTCACCTTTTGTTTAATATATCCCAACCAGAGGTGGGTCGGAATTCCGATTTCCGATTTCCGATTTCCGACGTTTTTTTCCTTCCGATTTCCGATTTCCGAAAAAAAATTTTGATTTCCGATTTCCGAGTTCCGACTTTTGAGCCATTTCCGATTTCCGACATTTCCGATTTCCGACACCTCTGACTGTTCCGACCCACCTCTGATCCCAACCTATAAGCTAACATCCATTTTCTATTTTTAATTTGCCAATTCCCCCAACCACTCTCAAATTTCCGTTTTCAACAAATCTTCTTTATTTCTTCATCCATTATCTCTTAAAACTCCTTTTATTTTTACCCAATTATATTCTCTCACGGCCAATTGAAATCGCGGCCATGCGAAATAAATAAAGCTTATTTAGAATTAGGCAAATAATTAATTTATTTTTCCCCTTATTTCCCGATTGTTTTAACAACAATCTCTAAATATTCATTCCTTCAATTTTTAAAATAAAGAAAAGTTTCTTGCCCAATGTTTTATTGTTGTTTATAGCTATTTAGAAACCGTGAGAAAATTAATTTAGCTTTTTTATAAAAAAGAGATCTGGCAAAAAAACTAGCGACAAAAGCGCCAATGCAAAAGTCTAAGAAGAACCCAAAAAAATTCTGACAAGAAAGAAAAAATTTTTACGGTAATCGGAGAAAATTCTCGGTTCAAATATAGGATCTGAGCATAGATAAAAAGACAGGGAGACTAGAAAAGGTAGGGAGGCCTGTACCTGAATCGTTACAAGTTCTATGGAGTTCTATGGAGCATTGAAGATTCTCGGAACGAGAACCAGCAACAGTCAAACTTTAAAATTGTATTGTTTGGAATGTGGGGTATTGTTGGATCAATATATCCAGGTCCGAAAAAAGTCGGGATATCCCTAACTTTTCGGTTCCGATATCAAATACGGAGATCAGGGGAGTTCGCCAGACCTATTGGGAAGTCAAAAATTCGACAAAATAAATTTACAACAAATAAAATTTAAAAGATTATCCATAAAACAGATTAAATAAAAAATATTTACAAAAATATTAAATAAAATTAATACATAAAAAATATTTTTAAGATATATTTGGTCAATAAAAATTGTTTTTTAAATAAACGGAAAGATTAGGAAGAGTGAAAACTTGGTAAGATTTTTAATATTTATGGATAATAAAGGATTAAGTTTTAAAGTAAGGGCAAAAAGTTGGGGGAGTGAAAAATTTTTTTGATTGAGAGAGTGTTAGGATAATAAAAATTTAAGTAAAATGAATTAGAAAATATGTGTTAATTTATTACCTATAAAAACAAAAATAAATATCTCTCTAATAGAAGACCAGTCTCAAAGTCCCTCCAGTGAAATAAGGATTCCCTCTATGAGAGAACTAATAAGAGGATTCCTCTGATAGAAAGATAGCCTCAGAACGCCATCTCTAATCGAAGGAACTCTATTAGAGAACCCCCTCTGAAAGGAGTCTCTCACTGATAGAGAATCCCGTATGATAGAACATTCAAGAATAGCCTCAGAACGCCATCTCTAATCGAAGGAACTCTATTAGAGAACCCCCTCTGAAAGGAGTCTCTCACTGATAGAGAATCCCGTATGATAGAACATTCAAGAATAGCCTCAGAACGCCATCTCTAATCGAAGGAACTCTATTAGAGAACCCCCTCTGAAAGGAGTCTCTCACTGATAGAGAATCCCGTATGATAGAACATTCAAGAATAGCCACAGAACACCCTCTCAAGTTGAAGGAACTCTATTAGAGAGAACACCCTCTAAAGGAGCCTCTCTAAATGCTAGAGCGTTCCTTCGAATAGTAAGACTCTCTTTTTTGATATGGCCACCTTTCTAGGATTAGTATCAGGGATGTCTCGGGTTGAGAAAAAAGTCGGGTCGGGTTTCGGGTCGGGTTTTCAAAATTTTCTTCGGATCGGGTTTCGGGTTTCGGGTCGAAAAAAAATCCGGGTTTCGGGTCTCGGGTCGGGTTTCGGGTCGGGTCAGTTAAAAATTTGAACATGAAGCCAAATTTTTCGGAGAGGTTGGGGATATTAGTGATTTGCGGTATTAATAAGATAATATATGAGTGTGATATGATAAGAGACAGAGATTAAATGGATTTGGATCAGACGTGGGCGAAACGTTTCGTTTCGTTTCGTTGTTTCGTATGTTTCGTATGATTTTTACTGTTTCGTCTCGTTTCGTTACGAAACACTTTTAAATTTGTTTCGTTTCGTTTCGTTACGAAACACCTGTGATTTTTCAACGAAACGAAACAATTTTTTAAGCCTAAACTAAGGCCAAAATCTATAAAATTTACCATCTTTTATTGAAAATTTAAAAAATTTTCGCCTGCGGCGCTGAAAAAAAAAGAATTTCGGCTTCTTGGCTTTCCCAAATTGTCAAAATTTTCGCCTGCGGCGCTGAAAAAGGAAGATAGCAATTACTTATATACTACAAATCCGTTTATACTCCACTCCCTAATCCACATATACATATTACTTAATCGACGACAAATTCTATTACCGGACTCGCATCATAATTTAAAAATTGCGGATTGCGAGTTGCGGAAATACTGGAACCGGAACTTCCGGCGAAGCACTAGCTTATATCGCCTTCCTCTCGAAATGGAGATATGGAGACAATTTGGGTAGGCAATGGAGCAAGATGGTGAATTTTTTGGCCTACGGCCTTTCAAAATTTTAAAATTTTTCGTCTGCGGCGCTTAAAATAAAATTTTACTTGAAAAATATTCAATTTTATTTAAAAAAAAGCGTCGCCAAAAATTTGGCTTCGAAAATGATTGACCCCCCCCCCTTCCCCGAAAATTTTCCTTGCTACGGGCCTGGCTTATGGGACACAATTGTTGTAAATAAACCAATAACTAAATCATTTATAAGTCATAGTCGACTAATAACGTATTTGAGGTCGAATAATTTCGAAATAAATGCAGTTTTGAAAATTTTTTGAATATTAAAATGTTTCGTTTTGTTTCGTTTCGTTTCGTAAGATTTTGGTTGTTTCGTTTCGTTTCGTTAACGAAACGATTTTTAAAAAATTTTGTTTCGTTTCGTCAGAAAAAAATTTTGAGTTTCGCCCAGGTCTGATTTGGATGGATTAAGAGTCTCTCATAAATACTAGTATCCCTTCTAAATCGCCTAAATTATCAACTTTCTCTACAGGATTTTTCCAAGACTCTCCCCTCTCAACAGTTTTGTTTTTGTTTAAGCTAATCTTTTTAGTTTTAATACCCAAGTATCTTGTTGTTTGCGCGTGTAAATAATAAATAAAAATAAAAATGGGGGCACTTGAATGAATAAAAAAATTTTTTTTGAAAGATTTTATGTGTGTGAGAATTTTGGAAACTTGGGGGAAAGAAAATATTTTTAAGCACAGAAATTTTATTTATCCAACAGAGGGGTTTAAAGACACAAAATAAAGGATTTGAGTGAGAAAATGTGAAGTTAATCTCCTTTATTTTTCCTTTTCAGTCATTCATCCAAGTAAGGAAAATGAGAATAAAACCCTCTTAAATTATATCACAATTACACCAGGCGCGCAAACAGTAAATAAATGAATAAAAAAATTTTGTTTTTAAATTTTAGAAAAAATGTTTAAAAATTGGAGAATTGAATTAGGTATAATTTGTGTTTTGAGTAAATATAAAAAAATTTTTAAATGGTAGGTTAATTTAAGCAAAATGGGATAAGACAAGAAAATCCGGAAAATCAGGGTGTACATCTCATGTCAGTCCGCAGCGAGTCCAGTCCTCTTAAGGCGATAACTTAGTCTAAAATTTTATGATCCTAGACATCCTAATATGGTTCGATACCAATTGAAACGAGCAACAAATACAATGGAGTTCGGGATTCGAAAATTTTTTTAGAAAAAGTCATAAGACTGCAACGGTATACTTAGGCTAACGGCGTGTTTCCACTTTCTATCCAAATCAGAACCTGATCCAGGAGCAGTTCTAACTTTTAATAAAATAGGGATTGAACAGGAGACTTTTTTGAATAT